GGGCAGCCAGTGGCATGGCCAGAGAGCCTGCAGGATCTCTATACACAAGTGAACATGCCAATTCTCACTGGCTGTCTGAAAGAGCCAGGAAGAAAAGTCTGCTGGACTTTCAAGTGTTTCAGAGGCACCGTGTATAGGCACAGCATCTGCATTCACCCATTTTGCAGATGTTCCTGAACCATGCTATTGGGCAGCCATTTAGGACATTCATTCTCCCCCTGGGCACCCTGTGCAGCCAGGCTTTTTGCAGGGCCTCTCTGGCTCCACCACCAAAATAAATGACAGAGGCCATGGCATAGGCTCACCTTGTGACTGTCCATTGTGCTTAATTGTCCGTTGGCTCTTTTCTGGCCTGTGGCAGCTGGCAGCCTCCCAGGCAATCCTGAGCAGGGTCTGGGGGACTGTTCTGAAAAGCAAAAGGGACAAGGCCACCCTATTTCAGGCATGTATGGAGTTTAGTCATGTGTCAGGACTTGCGCTGTTTGCTGACAGACCAGATAGTAGCCTGTTTATTACTGTGGGACAGACCTCTGCCTCCCTCCTGGCACATCTTCCTTGTCCTCATGGGCTCTCTGGGACTTGTCTTCCTCCCCACATGGTTCTGGTGATGTAAGATGGCTCATTTCCTCTACAGAAGAAGAAGGAAAAGTGACAGGTGTAAGGCTGAGCCCTGTCTCTGCTAAAGGGACATCTCAGTGTAGGACAGCCTCTCTTATTTTTGTCCTCAGGGAGAACTGGCGCAGTGTATCTGTTGAGCATCAGCAGCCACCAATTGATCTTCATTGTGGCATTCACCTTTGAAGTCTAGGATGTTGGTGGTCTTTTAAACCTTATCTCTAATAGCATTAAACAACAGAAAATAAACTTTGATTCATAGATTAGATCAGAATCTTTGTTCCCTTTTTTCTCTACTTGAAATGATCCTGAAATAGGTGAAATTTCTGACCTTTCATGTGTTGGGCTTTTTCAAACAAAGTGTCCATGAGTAACACTGTACTTGTGTATATCTTACTAAATGTTCTATAACAAAATATAAAAAAAAAACCCAATGTACCATGCAGGGTGAAGATATTCTGAAGAGGTTTGAGACGCTACTTGCAGAGAATGTCTCTGTCTATGTTGCAGCAAGTATGCCAACCCTGGCTACTAATTCAACTGACCTTGAGCTTTTAGAAGAAAAAGGTAATTATTCAGTGATGCACTCAGAACTTCAGTACTGCAATAGGGTATCTGAGAGAAACTGGTCCCCAGGGCCTATTCTGGCATGGTGTTTTTGTGGGTTCACAGGACAGGCGCTATGTGTTCACTAGTTCATGATTTTTGCATATGTTGTCATGCTCTTAAGGATTTTTTTAAAAGTTCACATTTTTCATATTTTTGCAAGTTCCCAGGAATGAGTGTTTGTAAATTTTGGTAGTCACTAGTGGCTGCAAGTATTAGGCATCCAGACATGTTCTGGCTATCAGGGGAGCAGTATAGATCACCATCTCCAGCTGTGTCTGAAACTCTTTTTTCTCTCCCCAACTTTCTTCAGGGGCTCATGTAAAGAAGATTGATTTTGGACATTTGGCAGGAGGAGTGTTGCACAGCAAATTCTGGATCGTAGACATGAAACACATATATGTTGGTAGTGCAAATATGGACTGGAGATCTTTATCTCAGGTAAGCTCAGCTGCTGAATATTCAAAAATCCGGGGGAAAATTCAAGTTCTAGCATGTAACGGAGGAACATCATGATGTGAAATGCTGATTAAGTGGGAGAAACAGCAAAGAAACCCTTGGAGGTGGCTCTTTCTGGGTCTGTGACATAGCTTGCTCTCACTGTAGGTGAAAGAATTTGGTGCTGTGATATACAACTGCAGCTGCTTGGCCAAAGACCTCTGGAAAACTTTTAGTACTTACTGGGATCTTGGACATCCTAATGCTACCATCCCATTCCCTTGGCCTCTTAATTATTCTACCCACATTAACAAGCATCAGCCTCTGGAAGTAGAATTCAATGGAATCTTGACAAAAGCCTATTTTTCTGTAAGTATATTTAAAAGTATCAAGATAGACTGTGAACTATATTTAAACATAGGCCATAAAATTTTCTTCAGCAGTCCTCAGTTATTTGTGTTCCAGTTGGATAATAATTAATTCAACAGGTTTCTCTGGAACTGCTCAATGAACAAGGGCTGACCCAGCTTCATCCATCAGGTAGTATGGCAAAAATGGGGTGCAGGTCTTCTTTAATCACCTGTGGGCTCAATATATCAGTAAGTATCTGACCCATCAGGTCATGTAAGGCATGAGGAGAGAGACAGTGGTCCACCTCAAGTGCTTTGTGCTATTGTAATGAAAACTGAACAGATCTGAATATACGACTCACACAATCTGACAGAAAAAAAGGATTAAATCACTGACCTGTGTGTTTTCTTCTTTTCAGGCTTCTCCTCCAGCATTTTGTCCAGAAGGTCGCACTGATGACCTCTTTGCTATAACCAGTATTATCAGTGAGGCACAGAAATTTGTCTATGTTTCTGTTATGGAATATTTCCCTACCAGCCGTTTCATTCACCCACAAAGGTACAATTTAAATCTTGACCAAATCAGTTGACTGCCCTTGCTAAAGGAAAAATACATTATATCCCTGCTTCTGCAGCAGAAGTATTCAAAGTGGAGAGAACTGAGGCTTTGCTCTGCACTCATAACTGCCTCATGGACTGTGCAAATACCGATGCTACAGGAAGCATAGTATCCAATACCGCCCATGTGCTTCACTACTGTTTTAAATCAGCCTCCCATGCTCTTCACACAGCAAGAAAACTGTGAAGTGCCAGACTAGGGACAATCAGGATACAGCTCTCTTCAAAACACAGCAGAGCAGCTTTATGAATAGAAAGAAGAATGGGAACAGCAGAAAGATATCCGACATCAGGCTTCTCAAGGAAAATATTCATTTGTTCCACTCTTCCGCTCCTTTTTCTTTCCTTCAGTTCTTTAGAACTTCTGAAGACTCTTGACTTCTGTCTCTGCTGCTGTTTTATTTACTTGACCCATATACTAGAGGGTGATTCTTAACTGTCCTTGCTAACCTCTGCAATGATAGCTGAAGCAGTCTGTAAAAGAAACTCCTGGACTTTTATTTTCCTTTTTTTTTTTTTACAATTCCATCTAAAGACATCCAAGTTCCTGAAGCATGCTGGATGTGTGCAGCAGCCGCTCTCAAAAAGAAGGTGGTAGTGGTGATTTGGAGTGGTCAGGTTGTGTGTGGTGGACCTTCTGCTGCCCAAGGTCACAGCAGAATTATGCAGACTATGTACATCAGCTCATATCTGAGTAACACAGAAAGTTAGTCAGTCATGGGACAACCACTAACACTCCAAATCCTCTTAGATATGCTTGAATTAGGATGTTTACATGCAATCAAGTGTCCTGAGTATTATCTGCTTATAACATTTCTGAGTCTTCCAGTTGTCTAAATAATCTGGCTGAGAAAGAAGCTCAGGCAAAATAATCATGTACTATGTGGCTTGTAAGGAATAGAGCGAGCTCTAGCTTTCCATTTAGCCAGAATTATACCATGCATCATGTCCTGTGGCATGACAGTATAAAGCCTCTGTTGTTCAGCTGGGCATGTGTGTGTTAGCAAGAAGGATAATAGATAGACACAGATAATTCCACTGTCCTTGAAAAAAAATCTCAAAGATGAGCTTCCACTTGAAGGATACTTTTTATAAATCAAACAGCTTTGAGGATTTTTGGTTTCAATGTTGTACAGTTGAATCTCTGGGTTTCTCATGTCCCGCTATTAGCTGAGAATAGGTTCACAAAAAGTCTCTTTTCCCCTTAGGAAGGAGTGTGTTAATACTCCTCATTCTTCATCTGAAGCCTTAATCCTCCATTTGTGACATCTAGGGCCTGATCAGATGCAAAAAAGAATTTGAAAGGCCTAGGGAAAGTGGTGCGGGGCCTCAGGCTATCTCCACAGCAACCAGCTGTAGCGCAATGAATTGAGGCTGATTAGTTCAGGTTAGGTTCCTCCAGCAGCTGAGGCAGAAGGAACAAAGCTGCTGTCTTAATGCCTGAGTGTTAATCAACTCAAACCTGATATATTTAAAAAATGGAAACAGTTAAAAAATAGGATGTCTAAATATGATGGTTTTTTGAGTTTTTCAGGATCTACAAGAAAACCTGACCCTGAAAGCACATGGCCAGTCTCTTGATTGTGATAGGACGATGTGCAATGGAGGATTAGAGAATTTAGGGCTTTGTACAAGAGACCCAAGGAATAAGTTAGGCAAATTAATTAATCATTGCTCATGGGACTGTGAGCGAGTGCTGGACCTCTCTGTATCAGTCCTCCAGTCTGTACTAAAGATGGTTGTCTTCCTCTGTGCAGCACCTGTCAGCATCTACAGAATGAAGATCCTATGTGGGCATTTAGAGTTACTAGTCTTGGGATGTACATTGTCCAGTGCTTAGTGTTGTGTAGTGGGGTGAAGGGTGTTAAAAATTTTCCCCTAAGCTACTGCCAAAACAAGTGTCACGGAAATGGAGAGCCCCGTGTTCATGAGAGCACAGCTGTGTCTTTTACCTTGGGGGCACACGTCATACTAAAGAGGACAAGAAGGGATGGGGGGGGGATAGAGAGTGTCCATGCTGGCTGATGGTGCAGGACTACTGGAGACACTAGAAACAGTCTCCAGGATCCTGAAACAGCTACATTCTACAAAATGTCTCTTAGGCTTTCCCCTGGCCTCTGCGCTGTCCTTTTTACTTTATGCTGTATGATCTAGCTTTACATTGGAGTTGCTATTGGTACTTTTAGTTTCCTAATGAAATGAGCATGATGGCACCATGCTGTGTGTGTAGAGGTGTACACGTGCTTTACTAAGCTTTAAACTTCTTGATCATTTTCAACCTAATTTGGTAGAGACTGGAGGTCTCAAAACACACTGTGAAAAGAACTGGCTGGGTAGAAGGCAGAAATCTTACTTACACCTCCAGTGTAGGCACAAGTGCTCCTCTTACTAGACATCAGAGATCCCACCTGTGCACAGTGTTACTTTTATTCTGTTTATTGTCGCAGCTTTCTACCGAGCTGTTTCAAAAATATCCCTTTTCCACCCACCTACTTTTCTCTAGGTACTGGCCAACCATTGACAATGCTCTGAGACGCGCAGCTTTTGAATACAGAGTACAAATTCGGCTTCTGGTCAGCTGCTGGACCCACTCTGACCCAGCCATGCTCTACTATCTGAGGTCCCTGAGTGCTCTCAACAACCCACATCTCCACATCAGTGTTGGCGTGGTATGATAAGAAACCTGATTTTGGAAAGACAGCTTGAAGATACAGGCCTCCCACTGATTTTTGAGTCTAGCTGCCAGTTGTGTGTGCATGTATTAGGTTTTAGAGAAGCAGATTGTCCATTGTTGCAGCAACTGTTTCAGGTCCTTGGGAAAATAAGGCCCACAGGATAATCCTGAGGAAGCAGCTATTGCAAGCTATAAGGGATGTGCCTAGCTGCAGTGCTTGTGACAAAGGGTATTGGCTTTAAGGTGAAAGAGGATAGATCCAGATTAAATATTAGGAAGAAAATAGGAGGGTGATGAGACCCTGGCACAGGTTGCCCAGAGAAGCTGTGGCTGCCCCATCCCTGGAAGTGTTCAAGGCCAGGTTGGACGGGGCTTTGAGCAACCTGGTCTAGTGGAAGGTGCCCCTGCCCATGGCAGGGGGGATGGAACTAGGTGATCCTTCCAATCCAAACCGGTCTGTGATTCTGTGATTATCCAGGCAGTTGCTTTTGCTGAGCACCATGACAGAAACAGTTTATATGACAACCTAGTGCTCTTTTCATAGACCTTTTCCTGTATTAAGTATCTTAAATGGGTCTAATTACTGTCAGTTTTTTACAACTGAGATCTCTGCTGCCTGCCTATAAAAATGGACCCATTTGTTAACACTAGACATTACATACAGGCCACAGGCATTAGGCTGGAGTGCATCAAGTGGAGGGGGGTGGTATGGAGCTCCCAACATGATGCAGTTACCATGGTAGAGTGAAGTCACAGAACTAAGGTGGAATGTTTTTTACCAAAAGGAAAAACCAACCAAACAAACAACAAAAAAGTAGAGTTTGGTAAGAGTTAACACAAAAAGTTAGGCATTATTGTTGCCTGCAATACCCCTTGTATCTGTGATCAGCCCATTCTAGCACAAAATAAGAGCAGCAATCAGTGGTAAATGCTGATCTATTGAACAGCTGCCTAAAACTGCATTTAATTGTCTGCCCTGTAATGATAATAGCTGTGCCACTAATGGAACATTGTGAAGCAAACATTATCCTTATCTGATCTCAATTGCTTATCCAATTTTATGTATAGTGGAAATACTATTTGTTAGTTCTCTTGGATAAGAGTAAAATCTCTTTTATGGTACATTTAATAACAGTGTGTGGACTATTCTGTTCTTTCTGTACTATTCTATTCTTTGTAAATATAGAAAATCTGCATTGTCCAATCATGCAGTCTGTTCTGTTCCTCACTATAGTATTTCTATTTATATTTTTAATTTCTCTCTCTCCAGAAACTCTTCATTGTTCCAGTTATGAATCACACAAATATTCCTCATGGGAGAGTGAACCACAACAAATATATGGTCACTGATAAAGTAGCCTATATTGGTATGTATTCCATTATTCTGAACATTTACAGTATATTAAGATCTATAGGATTGAGGCTGAGATAGGATGGGCTGCAATATCAAAAAAGAGCCCATTTTGCTATGTAAAGCAGTCTGCCCTGAGTAAAGAAGTAGAGATGTGAAGGGGAGACAATAATGTAGGTCAGGTTCAGTAAGAGATTATTTCATATGACTGTGAACCATTAAGACAAGAGGATGACAAGTCTGAGTGCACAGCTTGTGACAAGCACAGTAGGAATTTCACAGGCTGTGTGCTCAGAATGATGCAGTGATAGCTAATGCTCTAGTATACAACTTTGTGCTTTAATAAAACTAAATTGCTGGGAGGAATTAATTCCACGCACTGTTTGTTGAACAGAACTCTAGGAAAGGAAATGAGAAAACAGTAATGTCAACTGCTGCTCAATCCCTGAAAGTCAGAATTATGTTTATCTTTTACTCTCTTATTAGGATCTCTCAAGAAAGGGAATGTGAAAGGGTTCTGTCATTTCAGTCAGCTCATCCTACAAGCAATGCAAACCAGCAAATAGCCTAATCTTCCAACGAGATGAGCGCTTGCAGATCCAATTGCCTTTAATAGAACTTGTTTCTTACTGAACTGTCTTTTGAAGACAGATATGCAGATAATTTGTTTTCATGGCTAAACACGTACTAGAAGTGACGGTAGATTTCTCTAGCTAAGGCACACACCAGGAGAAGTGCTAAGTGATAAAATGTGTATTTTTTCCACAGTATTTATTTAATGAGTTGTGGTAGCTTTGGAGAGAGCACTAGACAATGTCTGCCTCTGGATTCCCAGCTTTGCCTGGTTTAAAAGCAGGCACTGCGTGCTGAGCTCAGAGAAGCTCCCAAGGTTTTATTGATCAAGGGTCCAGTTTCTCCTCTTGTTTTCCTTTAACAAGTAAAAAGAATTAAGTCCATTAAAGATTTTTTTTCCTTTAAACACAGAAACCCATATCAAACACTGACTTTTGCCTCTCTTAATACCTAAATGTAGCACTCTATTCCCATATTTATAATGATTAGATTTGTGCATCTTTGTCACAGGCTGTAAGGAATCAGAAGGTTATGAAGATTCAGGGCTGCAGTTAGTACTCGTTTTCCAAAACCAGAGGTCTGGAATAAGAAGGAGGTGACCTGATTTTTGCTGCTCTGTTGGTCCTAATGAGATTTGCAGCTGTACAGCAAATAACCAAAGCCAGGCAACTGTGGACTTAAGTATGGGGATCAAACAGAACACTGGGAAATTAATGTTTTCTAATTAGATACCTTTTCATTGCATAGGGACTTCCAATTGGTCAGAAGATTACTTCATTAACACTGCTGGCGTGGGACTAATTATCAAACAGAATTCAACCAACCTGCAAAGAAGTCAACTGCCTATCCAGGAACAATTAAAACATCTCTTTGAGAGAGACTGGAATTCCAAGTATGCAGTAAATCTGGAAGATGTGCAGGGACAGAAAGACTGTAACTGGAGAGGCAGACTTTGAAGTGAATTGAAATATAGATTTAAAATAAAACAAAAAAAAAACCCAAAACAAAACAAAAAAAACCCCAAAAAACAAAAACCAACAAACCCAAAACTTGAATCTTGTTCCCTGTGCAAAACAGGGAGTTATCTTCCTTATATCTTTGTCAAAAAAATCACTTCCTCGTGGTGTCCACATTGATGAGGCGAGAACTTCTCATAGTTGACTCTACCTGCAAAGCCATTAGTCAGTGTGACACTTCCTTTCTTGTGTGATTACCTCATCCCAGAGTAATGACATGCATACAGTGTTATATGACAAGCTATCTGATATTAAAGCAAACATGGAAGATACAACCAGATCTCAGTACATCAGAGACGCAGATTGCTGTGCTATTTTATCTTAGGAAGCTATATACTTCAACCTTAATGTTCCATTAACAGTATTTGCTTACATGCATTTAACCATATTTTTAATAAACTCCTGGCCACTTCAAGATTTTGAGCCGTGTAAATAATCACCTAAAACAGTGAGGGCAGATTTTTAAAAGCATTTAGGAATTAGGGGTACCTGTATTCAAGTGTTGACGATAGTTGCCAGAATTAAGAACCTGTGATTTAAATCTTGGGGGCAGCTTCCAGCTCAGCTGATCTGGAGCCCTGAATGTCTGGGGATGCTTGGATATCTGTGCATTGGCCTCAGACAGCAAATGGGATGGGGAAAGGGGCAAAGCTGCTGCGTGAGTGCTGGGGTTGCAAAGGCATCCCACCTATGCTCTGAGCAGTGCTTGGAGAGCCTCCTCGCTCCTTTGGGGCTGTCTTGGTGCTGGCCCTGACCAGCGTTGTGCCCCTGGGCTGCCTTTTCTGCTGCAGTCACACGGGGACCATAAACCTGAGCCATCTGTTGCCTTATGTCCGTATCAGCCACTGCGTGTCGACTCTGCCCTGGGTTACTCTCAGCTGTGACAGGATAGGAAAGCAGGGCATATGTGCTGGCAATGGAGAGGTGCGAGTGACACTGGCCTCAGGCTCTGTGAACCTCACCAGGTCTGCACACTTTGCCTGACACTGGAAATGGAGTCACAGTGTGAAACTTTTGCTTTGAGACTGATGTACAGCAGAGGTGGGAGATCCCAAGGAGAAAGCCCATTGCACTGAAAAAAGTCTATCTGATGTTGCTCTTGCATGCAAGTATTAATACATGATCAGGTACATTTGTTAGTATGGGCTAATAAACCCATGAAATGGAGCTAGTGAAAACCAGCTGGAAAGGTTCTACTTTGCCAGGGATTTTAATTAATGAATGGAAATATCAAAATATTAAGCAGCCTTTAGAAAGGAAATAGGGGAGGAGAGCGCTAAAAGCACATGCACCTTCCTCAGTATGTTTGCACATACGTGATACAAAAGTTCAATGTTATCTGTAAATGTCTTAAAAATCTTCATTAGTAACTGATGTAACGATGGATAAAACAATCCAAGGATCTTCTTGGAAGTGTCTGGAAGAGATAACTGAGGAGCAGCCGGGAAACCAAAAAATGGAAAATTGGTTTGGATCACCTCCAAAAGACCCTATGGGGAAAGGGCCATATTTTTATGGGGATTTGTGTGTATTCACAGATATTTGAATCAGCCCACACACAATCACAGTACGTCTTTTTGTTATTCTCAGCACAGGGCAGGGATTGAAAAGCACCAAAATGCTTCCTCTGGAGGATGGGAAGGTTGCACTGTGGTGGGGAAGTCTGTACTCCTGCTGCCCTGCTGCTCCAAGAGCCAAAATGCACCTTGAATTAGGCTCTGTTAAGAGGGGCATGAAGCCAAGCTGCCACAGGCCTTTTGGGGCTGGTGAGGTTCGTAGCACATTCACGGCTCAGAGTTGGAGTGCCAGGACAGGGGCTTTGCCCGGCCTCTCCGTGAAGGTGTGCTCTGGCCTCTGTGAGATGAGCACATGTGAGTGGTGAGGCAGTTTGGAAAGCTGTTTGGGCAGTTGCATCTTGAACCAACAGAAGTTATTTTCTACAGAGGAGTGCGCTCCTCTAGATGGCACTCAAAGCTATGTTTTACACTGGTTTGGGGGATGATCGGTATTGCAGGAAGAAGGAAAATTTCTCCGCTTGGGAGCTCAAATCCGGCAGTGCTGGATAAGCTGTTCAAAGTTTCTGGGCAAGCTGGGAGACTTGTCTTCTGGAAAGTCTCATATGGGGTCAGGTTCAGCTTATATAAGAAAAATTGATGCTTATGAGAGTGCTTTTTATGTCCTTTACTGGCATCACTTGTGTTGGTTTTCCTCCACAAATGAAAGAGCGGTTTACAA